ACTTGAATACGCAGATGATGTAGTCCTTTTTCCTGATAGTTATGACGAAATGCGAGTAATGTTAAATAACGTGTCAAAAACTGCACCAAGAATAAAACTCATGATCAATGTAAATAAAACGAAAGTCTTTTCGTCTTATGCACAAGAAGCTGATAAAATGCTTCTTTTTGTAAATTCATTGCCTGTCGAGGAAGTGCCCGATTTTAAATACCTTGGGTCCACTCTAATACCAAATGACCAGGCAAAAGACAATATTATAGCCAAGATCACGGCAGCTAGAAATGCGTCCTTCTGGTTGATGAAATCTTTATGGAGCCGTCGTGAAATCACCATAACAACGAAAGTCGGCATCTATATAGCCGTGATTCGTTCTATATCGCTATATGGCTCTGAGACATGGCCAATGAGAGTGGAGGATATTAAGAAGTTATCTGTCTTTGACCACTCTTATCTAAGGTATATTTTTCGGGTTCGCTGAGTGGATAAAATCTCACAAGATCGCATCCATCTTCTTTCAAATACTTTTATAAATAATATTATCACAGAGCCTTCGCTGGTTAGGGCACATTCTCCGTCGTCCACCACACGAGTTGACGCATATTTGTTAAACCGTGTGGCGTCAAAAGCGAGGTGGACCAATCAAGACCTGGACTGACACGGTGAGAAAAGATTTTGAACGCTAGGTGGACCAACGCTTTATGGATTTAGAAGATGGAAAAAGGAATGACTTCTATTACTGTCGACGATGGCATCAGACCGCGCAGCTTGGAAGCGTCTTACCCTTGTAGCCGTTGGAGCCAGCCTAACCAATAATGGTGAGAAAAAAAATATAACTTATATATCAGCACAAATTTCGCAGAATTTTTTTCATTAATTACCGTCCATAGCCCATGTACCTCCGAGCATCAAAACTCGTATTGCGGGTAATGTCAATTATTGTCTCTTATAATATTTTCTAGCTTTTGACTAAATCGATTAAATCGCGCAGATTTAGTGAAGAACTGATTCTTCATTTTATTAGCGAACTCATGCATACTGTGGTATTGCAATATTTATTCTATGCAGTATTTCACTTGGTATTACCAAGAAAATTCCTTTGAGCAAAATTACAGAGATGACTGGATGCCAAAAAAATAAATAAAAAAATTAAGAATAGTTTAAAATCAATGAAGGAGAGTCGATATTTCTTGTTGTACAAGACTTTTTTAAATGAAAGAAAATTTTGCTTAATAATAACGCGGTAGTTGCATCGATGGTGATGGTGGATCGCTGTCGTGGATCCATTTCAGTTCTGGAAAAGTCGGTGCCATATGTACTCGATATGTAATCTGTTATTCCTTGACAATATTTGCGGCAAGAATCTCAGCGATCGTTCGCATCGCTCTTTAAGATATTCATGGCAGTACAACAGCTGCAGTTCTAACAACACTTATTCTAATTAATGAAATTGGAAATAATGCTCGAAGTAATAGGTATTTGGAGATTTTTGCACAGAAAACGACTGTACTCTTTGGTTGCTTCGTGCACAAAGAAGTATGTTGGCTATTAAAAGATGCTTATAGATTTTATTATTGAACTGGAACGATACTACTTTTTTGACTCAAAACGAGGAAGTTTGCTGCGGAATAATTTGCTAATGCTTCAGAGCGAATTTATTTTTTTGACAGTTTTATGTGGCAAGTTTGATAAAAAAAATCGACAGCTGCAAACAGACAAATTCAATTTAATCAAAACCAATAGCAGTACAGTTTGCATATTCATATCAAAAATAATTTTTCATAAATGCGAAAAAGAATTTTTCCAATTTTCAATTCTCGAAACCTGCCTCAGTAGGAAGAACCGATGAAAACATTCTCATTTAGCGTCAACACTTGGAGACCCTCCAAGATTTGGATTTTGTTTGCCGCTTTTAAGATATCCTAAAAAAATTTCTAAGTGGGTTTTAGAGTCATTTCAAATAGGAATCAGAATTACCATTAGATTTCATTAATTAATCGAATCATCAACGTGAAGATAGAAGCAATTTATAAAAAAAATTTATGAAAAATTACAATTTATAAAAATATGAATATAATTCCACCAATTTATATACTTTCTTTTGTGCTCTATTTTTTAAAGCATAGGGTGGCTGCTGGGGGCCCACCTGTAACTCCATCCCTAAGTGGCTCTATGGTGGAAGGGTCGAATTTTCTTGACACACCGTTCGCCTCCTAAAAGGCGTACATAATATCCCAGCCCGGTGGTACATGAGATAAATATACAATCCGGGTATGATGTAAAATGATCCAAAGGTTCATAAGGTTCATAAATAAAATTTGCTCACAAGTCAGGACAATTGCTTAAAACTTATCAAGGAGAACAGCTCTCTGCACAAGGCATTAGCCGTACCAACGTGGCTTAATCAGAACGTTATCAGAATTCTTATGAACATTCCAAGCCAAGTGATCAATGTACACCTCTTTCTATCATGGGAATTTCGATTGCTTTTTGGAGATCCGCAGATCTTCTTCTGTTCGGGCAATCAAACCTGGATCCGAGACAAAAGTACCTAAAGGTATTAGATATTTCGGATAGGTCGAAGCGAAATGGCTTAGCGATTGTCATTTTTGAAAAGATCCATCTCGCCTTGATTAAGTAGAAAACAGCAAATGACCGTATAGCTTATGGCCGCTTTAAAGGGAAGTTCTGTCGTTTGTACTATACAGTCATTTCCATCGCGGCGCTAAAACTGGTGACTGTCGCAAATAGCGAACAACAAAAAAATAAATTCTTCGAATAATTCTTGCTCACTCAGCTTGTTAATCAAAAATTCTCTCGATAAATTTTTTATGCGTTTTGTTATCTTGATTTAGCCGCATTCTAATCTTCTTTTTTATGTGGCAAAAAAAACTAATGTAGCATGAAAAATGTTTTATATATTTATCTCGTATGTTTATTGCTATAATCAGGTAATTGTAATTTTTCTATGCATAAATGGTTCGTTCATTCTGCATACCATTCCCATTAAAAATGCTTTTTTTCTAAACATTTTAGACTCGGCAAGCTTTGTATTGGTTGTTTTGAATTGGTTATTACTGTTTTGTATTGTTTGTATTGCTTTGTTTTGATGTCGAGTCGTGAATTTTAGGGTTTTGTGGTAAGTTATCCCCTTTCTGACAATTACTATCTTTATTCCCTATTTCATTATTTGTATATATATACACATATATTTATTTAACCATATATATTTATATACATAAAATCTTTCATTGATCCGTTGTTTTCAACTTGCGTTATAAATGGTTTAATTACCCAAGTTTGAGATCCTTCTCGGCCTGCTTGGGTAATCAACAGTTGGATCATCAACTGGCAAACCTTATTCGTCTCGGAGTGCATTTTCATCAGTCAAACATCTTGTTCTAACCACACCGTCGTTTCATTCTCCCTCAAATCTCTTCTCTCAATGACAGTGATCCCCATGGATCAGACCATATTTTGGGTCGAACCAGAATCGCTAAAATTGACGAAAGAAACAGTTCAACTAAACTAAACTAAACTAAACTAAACTAAAACTATCTCAAACTAAAAGATTTCGGGACAGCGCATTTCAAATAAAGCACCTCATTGATATCAATAACTTTTCTGGAACGGCAAATGAATACTGGTCCAAATTAAAGGAATGTCCCCGACAGTCAGCTACTTCTACGCTATGGCATATTAATAGGAAGTGCGCTAGTTGGGTATCGGAAGCAACAATTGTCCATATGGAGGGTGATGAAATTTCATGGTGTACCAGAGAAGATCATTCGCTAATGTATATCGACAAAGGTCTATTTATATGGGGAGCTGATAGATTCCTTCAAAATAAAAACTGGTGTAACAGACGTACCCTCCATTCGGCGAAGGCTAAAACTGTTTCCAAACGTAAAAGACGTTTGGCGCCAGAACACTTATGTGAATCTATATTATTTTCTCATTAGCAAGATTGAAATTTTAAATTTTTTTAAAAAAGCGCAATATTTGTTTGATTTGTGATGTATCGACCTCTCATCGATCGCAGTCGGTCCTTTGAAGTCATTCTGTTCCCAAGGTGGTTGAATTGGTCGGGTTGGAAAACCCATCCAAAAATTCTAGAAATTTTTTCAATAGTTTATTGGTTTTTTGGCAATTAGTCACCCAATTTTTCAATATATATCATATTTGTTTGTTGATTCATCCCAATATCCATGAATAAGTTTTGATAAAATGTCGATGAAATTTGTAGTAATTTTTGTATGTGATTTTTATTCGTAGTAATTATAAAATATGCTTCAGTAGGCAACAAATATTTTGCTTATACAACTCCACTTTCATTCAAGTTCAACGAGTTTGCTTTGTCGTGAAAGATAAAAAAATATTTCATATTTTCAAGGAATATTTCAAGGAAATGTTTTCAACTAATTTTTGAAAAATTAAAGAAAAATTAAAAAAGAATAAAAATATATATATTAAAGAAAATTATATTAAAGAAAAATTCAAAAAAAATTTGTGGAAAAAAAGTGGAGTTATTCAGGTATCATCTATAAATTAATTTTTTTTTATAACTTAGAAAGAGAAATAAAATATAACTTATTGTTCGATGCTTATATAAGCAAGCGATAAATGAGCAACAAAATAAATCTATAAATTAAAAAAGGTAAATTATTTGAACAAAAAGAAAGTATTCTAAAAAAATCGCAAGTGAATATGAAAGGCCTTTAGCATGCTAAACACCTTGATTGCTAAATTACAAAACAATATAATTGATTGGTATAAAAAACGAACTAATTTAAAAAGATTCATATAGAATCAAATTCGGAATGCAGCTTGAGTGTGGCCACAGAAATTAGAACAATTACATTTAACTGGCGTTAGTATAACTAGGGAAAAAATAAAAAATTTTTCAGACTTCATCCTCAAACTAAAATAAAGTGCGAAAGAATGAAAATGAGAGTTAAAATTGTTTAAGATTAGAAGAGCAAAGTTTCTAAGTTCCACTTGGCTCATAATACAGTACTATTCCCAGTCAATGTCTTATTTAGCACAGAAGTACTCCTTCGTATCGAATTCCTCATTTTCACATCCTTAGGATTTTCTTCTTTATCGAATATTCTATATTCTGGATTTGTCATATACCAGTGTAACATTACATCGTAAAGATATTTGTATTCATCCTGCAAAAAAAGGTGATAAAGATAAAACATAAATAAAGAAAAATAGATAAAATCTCTATTTTTAAAAAAAATTTTAGAAATGATTTTAAAAAAAAGATCGATGGTGATAACGTTGAAAAATTCAGCGAAACGTTATTTTACAAAAACATTCTTGACTTTCTGCATTTGAAATGATTTTCTAAAAAATCGCATTTCAGCATTGAGGGTTATGCTTGAGGTTTCGACAATAGCAAAGCTATCGAATTATTTCTTGTCCCCTGAGTTGTCGTTAAATACATCATTAAAATTGAAATCCCATGGGAAGATCCCATTTACTTTTCCATTCACTCTTTGGCGAACGAGTTTATCCTAATAATTAGGATTAGCCAACCCAGAAATGATGAGTCATTAGAAAACTTAGAAAGCTCACAAAATGGCCATTCAAATTAATTTTATATAGCTTTTTATTTTCTCAAACGAATTATACCTTGTCGACTAATTGCGGCCTATTGATTCTAATTAATTTTACAGCATGAAATACATCAACTTCATGATCAAGATCCATCTGATCTATACAAATATTTGCCGCTACAAATATACCACAACGATTTACCCCATTGCTGAAATGAAGTAAATGAAATATCTATAAAATTGTCATGTTGATGCTACAAAATTAGTGCTCTAAAAGAACTCTTATAGTAATTTTGTTTGTTTGGTTAATTTCTTTCTGCTTCAATTTTATTTTCATCCGTTCATTAAAGTTTAGACTTATAAGTTTAGAAATAAAGGAATAGAGGAATAAAACTTGCTGAGACATAACAATGGTTGGTTTAGTTTCTGGCTTATCAGGTGCTCTTTTTTTCCATGAACGAGCCATTTTTATTATGTCTAAGAGACCCGAAGTCGACAAAGGAACTTTGTTTTCAATTGGCCACATTCTTACCTGTAAGGACCGTTTATCATAAAAATTACATCTCTGGAAATGAAATGCTTTGGGAATAGATGTTTAGAGTGAATTCCTGCATCATTCAGATTTTTAATGAACTTATAAATATATATACATGAATATATATCTATTAGAAAGGCTGTCATTACCATCTTTTAATAGCTTTGCTATGTTTCATGGTCAAGAACTATTTTCTTAATTACCTGTATCACGCAACATATCCTAACTTCAGCTTCAATTTGCTGCTGGTTTGCTCCATTGGCCATTATTTCTGAGATCATAAAAGTCTGAAATATCTAGTAACACATATCTATAATAAATATGTTTTAGAGAAATATGAAAGAAAAAGATATCTTTTGCAAGCAAGAAAAGAAACCAGAAAAGAATATAGCAAAACTTTTGTATGAAAGGTGTTATGTACCACGGGAAATGGTAAAAATAGGTTCAGCGATTTGATCTTGATGTTAGTTATAAATCGAACAATATTTCATTAAAAGAGACATCTGATATTTTCGTTGTGGAAATTATTTGTAAAAATAATAGCTCGATTAATATAATAAGTTAATCAACGATTAGCATACATAAGGAATATTAGTAAAAAAGTGAAAAATCAAAAAAGTAAATGCGATTTCGGCCAACAACAAACAATTTAATAGGTAAATGGAAATATTTTTTAAGAAAATAAGCCGAAATTAGGCATTGAAATTTGAATATTTTCGGCTAAATTTCGTTTTCCTATATTTTTAAGAATTAACTAATTAATATATAATGAAAATTTTAAATTTGATGAAATGAAAACAATTTTTAAATAAAATGATAAAAAAACAAATTACGAGAATACATCAACTAAATGAACAAATTCACATAAATATTTTTGGAAAAATGAAAACGATTTTGCAAAAAATGACTTAGAATCGAATTCTACTGCCAATATCTTTTTGTCCTCGATATACTATCACTCCGCTGAAAACCCGAAAACAGAAAGCGAACATGCAAGAGAATCAATTAGCTAACAAATAAAATTCATCTAGCGATAAACTGAATAAACTAAATTAAACGAGAAAAAGCAAAACAAAACAAGCACACCATTTTTAATACTTTTTGGGTGGAATCACTGTTCTGAGTTGTTTGGGATTTCTTAAATCTCAAATCTTTTTCGATAAGATATTCCTTCTTCTGAAACATTCGCTTTGTTATATTCATACACACATTGTATAAATATATATAAAGCCACCCAACAGCTGTTTTCTTAACCTCAATTTTTTTTCTTAACTTTTTTCACCAGTGTATATGAAAATCTCACTTTTTAGATCGATGAAATTATTTACCAAAAGATGGTTGATGATTTTTTTATTTGATAAATTAACTATATAAAAAAGGAATTTTCATTGTTTCATCGGTAAGTTTTTCGAGATTTATGGTATTATTTGGTATTATGGCATTATGTACGATTATTTCCAATTATGTATGCATTGGCCATTTCCCTTTAAGATAACAATAAAAACAAAAAAGCGATAAAAAACAGCGAAATCAACAAGTCTATAATAAATAAAGACTTCTATAATAAATCTTTGAATGCTTCTATATATATATATATATATATATTTAAAATATTGCAAGCTTGTTAAAACTATTGAACATATTGAATAGAAAAGAAAAAAAACGAAAAGTAGAAAAATATAGCGAAAATTAAAAAGTCGCAGCAGCAATAATGATGGAAATTACTACATCTTATTAAAAATGAAAATCAACTGTTAAAAACTGTTCAACAATAGTTTTGACAAGCTTGCAATATTATTATATTATATTATATATTGTAATATTATATATTATTATATATATTGTACATTATTAATATTATATATATATGTATAAAAGCACCCAAAGTTTTATTATAGAAGTACTGAAAATCTAAAGTTCTAGTTATTACTACAAATGCTAATCATCTAAATAACCAAAGGCATCCACTGAGACTATTTCGATCCCATATAAATATCATATTAAGTAAATAAGTAAATAAAAGCATCTAACCGAAAGTAAACTGCTTGTTTGATCCTAATTTTGTTATTCGCAAAAAATACCAACTTTTCAAAGAGGTAACTAGATTCACACACGTAAAACGGACACAATTTGAATCTACGATGAAACTCATGCCATAAAATCATAACTCACTAGTTTATTGGTATATTTAACATCTCCACCACCTCCACCTCCAACACCACTTTCACTTCGCTCATTTATTTCTGGTCGCTCATTCTTAAAAATTACCCCTCGACACTGAAATTTGGATTTTATAGAATTTTTAGTAAAAAAATATCGTGGAAATTATGCAAATTATTCGCCTTCGAAGAAAAATAAGATTTTTTAATTTTCATCTAATTTAATTTTTTTTCAGGACTTTAAGTAATTTTAAAACATTTCCGAATTTTTTATTTCTAAAATAATTCCTAATATATCTAATATTTAATATCTAAATATCTAAAATATCTGGATGTTCTGTGGTTATAATTTTTGAAAATATAAAAAGATTTATTCGCCTTAAAATTCCAAAAATGCATAGGCGATATAGGCATTATAACATTGTATATAATGTAAATAAATGAAAAATATAGGTAAACATCCTATACAGACGTGGCGCATGGAGGTGAAGGCAAGATGAGTAAGGAAAAGCTCGAAAGCCGTTCTTATGTCATTTTTCCTTTTATTGAAGATTTTTAGCTTTTTTTTTAATTTTTATTATCTCAACGAATCTTTAGTGACATTGATGTTCGCACAGTGAATTTAATGAAAATTATAGTTGCAAATGGAAAAGAAAAGAAAATTACGATGGGATAAAGCAAATTATTTATGAGAATTCGTTAAAAATTTGTTAAAATTTGTATACTGGTAAAACAGGACTATGAATTTGAATATCGACCACAGTTTAGGATGCAGAATCAGAAAGTATGAATAAGGGACAGCTTGTGATAGAACTTTAGGATAATCGTTCAAATCATTTAAATACTAATGAATTAAAAAACCATGTTAATGAGCAATAAAATTTAACTGAAAATGCATATTGAAAAAAAGTGGAAATTTCAGATACACGTCAAAGATTCTGAATAAAAAAAATTTCGATAGTGAATTTGGTCGTCAAAATTTTGGGGAAATATTAATCTCCCATCTCTCAAAATCCGATTGTCACAAAATCTTATCACATAATTTATCAAAAGACTTGTTCATGTCGATAGAAGAATTTGCCAAAGGTTTGGCAAACCTTATTTTTTGGACATGAAGATGAAGATGAAAGGAGATTTTCATTGCAATCTCTCAGAGCTGGGATTATCTTGTTCGAAAATGTGCTCCTAATTTTACTGGTATAATTTTACGGGTTAGAAAATTTTGCGCCATGCATACAAGAAAAGATTGTAGTGAATGAGCCCGTTCTGTTTGATCATTAAGGTTCTAACGATTCATCATAACCAAAGACTTGGTATATCTGTGAATGTGGTTAAAAAGAACTTCTCTAGTTGAATTTTACATGCACAGCGCATACGCTTATAAAAAATTGAAAAATGAAAAAATTACACGCTTGCACAGAAAACATATCGTTGTAACAACATATTAGCGTATATTGCCAAATGAGCTAATGAAAATTATCAAATTTAATAAGTGTCATAAGAATTTTATGGCAATATAGCAATAATTAAAAAATTTTTTAATAGGCAAATTGGAAATGAAGTTCTGTAAAATTTTATATTTTAAAATTTTAAAAATTAAATGAAGGAGGAACATGTAAAAAATTAAATAATTTTTTAAAATAAAGTTTTTGAGATAAAATTTTCAAACTTTTAGAAATGTGGTTGCTAGATATTTAATTCCTATAGAGTTTACCTTTTTCATGATTTTAACCATATGCGAGGTCATCGATGGATATTGATGATGATTGAGAATTTCTACTACGAAAGGCCCATAAGTTTGTTTCCCTTTGCTGTGCAAAAATGCCGGATATGTCTGTAATTTAGAGTGTGAAAATAATGAAAAATTAAAAAATTTAAATAAGATAAAAATACGATAAAATTTTTAAATTTTTATGAACTAATGACAAGAAAAATTATCAAATTTAATAAGAATTTTGTAGTAACATACTAAGTAAATTAACCTCTAGGAAGTGTGCTAACCTAAATTTTGATATCTTTCGTCCTCATATGGTCAATCAACTTATTGAGTACCTTGTCATTTCGAAAATAATTAAATGGAAATTCTTAAGAAATGGAACAAAAAAATTTTGGTTCTAAAACTTCATAGAAACCAACCCTAGAATTTCCTTGATTACTGAGATTCACAACTGTATGACAACTATGATCAAATACTAAAGTCCAAAAACTATCAATTGTGGAGCTTTTAGGCCATTCAGTAATGATGAATTCATTTTTTCTGCGAAATCCATCTACTTCAACAGCGTTTATGTAGGTATAATCCTTACTCTCGCCATGTAAGGTTTGTAAATATGGTCGTGCATGATCAGCTAAAATTTTTTAAAATTAATTGAACCCTAGTGAATAGAATTTTCCGATTGAAATTCAAGTTTTGTCAAGTTTTTTTAAAAAAACTTGAGATAAATTACCATTTGAATTTAATGGGATAAATTACCATTTGAATGAAATATAGGAAAAAATGAAGCATGATTAAATGGTTAAAAAAACAATTTGCTCGCTAAGTATAAATCAAAAAACCTCAAAGAAATTGTACTGCTTTTATGTTGCACAAACTTATAATCAACACTATTGTTTCGAGAAAATACTAGAATAAATTTTGATCTAAAAAAATATTTAAATAATTTTACTAACGGGGAACAACCATCACGTCTCTATTTTTACCACGATTTTCCAGTCGATGGCCTCCAGCACAATCACCTATTCGAAGAGTTGGCGCTAACATTACTAGTAACTAAAAAGTTATAACTTAAATAATAATTGAAAAGAATCCTTCAAGGCATATCATTTATATGATCATTTCTAATATTGTCGTTCGGCTCTACCACAGGGATTTTTAGATATAATAAAGAAATAAAATTATAATTAAAAAATAATGACACTCACTCCCTTTTTCTTGATGATTCCTTACGCTAATAAAGTCTAAATTAAAAAACGATAGATGCTAACCACTAACCAAAATAAATGGCACCTTACAATAGAAATTACAAAATTTTCACAAAATAACTAAGTCAGTGGGTGATACTATCCTATCAACCAAGCAGCCCAAACGCCTTGATAAACAGTAAATCGCTTCATTCCCCGCAATAAATTAAATCAAATTAAAACCTTATTTTCATGCGCATCCTGTGCTTCCATGACTTGTCGATCTTTTTTAGCTTTATACATGCTACTTCTGTCTTTCAGTTGCCACATAGCTATCGGTTCTATATTACAAAGTACAGCCTATAAAAAATTTTATCAGATGTCATATAACAACGTTTTCAAATTTTTAAATTTCCTCGCTAGAAAAATTATCTTCAGAAAGTCATCATGTGTCAGTAAAAATTTTATTCATAGTTCAGAGGTACCTTTAAGATATTTGAGGATCAAAGAAAACATTTAGAAGTCTCGAATTATATAAACATTATCCTCGATAGTGGCTGAACAATAATATTAAAAAACAAAAAAAATAGATAGAATATTTGGACAGAAATTTACCTCAGCAAGCGCTTCATATATAAATTGATACTGATCAGCAGAATCGATTAAATGCGGCCTGGAGTTAACCATTGTTTTCCCATATTCGTAAATATCAATCTGCCCAGTCCTTTTTAATAGTTCAAGATTGGCATCCAAAGCGATAAATGCACCACTACGACCACCACCATTACTGAAAACTTGCTTAGTCATAATGCTAAAAAAAATTTTGCTTGTGTCAAGATAGTACTATATTTCGTAAATTCATTTCTTTTAGAAATAAAAGATATCATACTTTCAGATAAAAAGATATAAAAGCTAAAATATAACTGTAAATATTAGGAAATAAATCGAGCCAAAAAAGTTTTTGGGCCTTGAGATCTTCAACCAATATAAATTCCTTTAGGTGTACATAAATCATTTTTATAGTGATTTAAAGCTAATGGCGATGAATTAATTTTTCGCACCGATTCAAAAGCTGCTCATGGCCAACAAATTTTGCAACGTTTTTATATTTCATTTCATTAGCAAATTTTATGAGGCAACTGACGACAAAAATATTATAGGATCATCATACCGGTTTTCATTAAGATTGATTGTGCAAAAGCTGTTCCACTCGTAAAGATTGGCAATGTATTAGTGGAATTTATGATTTAAGATGATTTAAGATTTTTCAATAGGAAAATTCTTTTTTGATACGGTCCATAGTTATGTCATATTAAAGTACTATTTGGATAAATATTTCAAGGGAATATTTGTCCAGATTTTCCCTGAAATACCAGTTACTATGTCAGCATTTAAGACTAAGTTTAATTAATTTTCTGATAGTTATTTTTGTTTTATATATCACTTGGACTCCTTTCGGTTCAAAATATGTAGATGAGTATTTCAAAAACCAATAGAAAACTTGCAAGAATGACTTTATCATATTAAAAATTTGAATATTGTCGTTTCCCTCACATCCAGATGGAGCCAGAATGGCTCAGTGGGTTGTTGTTCAATTGGGAGCGTCGATGCTGAGGTTCGATTCCCCGCAGGAGTTAACCTGCCCGAAAATTCGGATGGTGCTGGCGATTCACATGTATTTCTATCGCCAAGAGACTTCCTGGCTTATTGTTCAATGCGACAAACCAGTGAAGCGAGTCTAACCAGTAATGGTGACTCTTTAAAAAAAAATTTGATTCGCTGACTACCAGGGTTGTTTGAGAAGTGACATGCATTTGCTGCAGAAGAGGTCTGTTTTTTTTATTTATATTTTGTTGTTTTTTTTATTTTATTTATTTTATGGCTCATATATTTTTTGTCTTGTGATTAGTTATTTTCTCAAACAATAATCTCATATATCAATTAAAAATCTCAAAAATGAAATTTTTCAACTGTTTTAGTGCCATTAGTCCCATAAACAGTGATATCATATCATGTTCGAGTTCCCGCTTTCCGAGATCTCCAAATAATTTTAGAACAACTTTAGTGGAAAAAAATCAATTTTCCAGATAGTGATAGCTGTGGAGATGGATAAAATTCAAGTTCCATAGATAAATTTTCTTTTTCAATTTGCTATTTTAAAAACATATTTTAAATAATAGGAGTTGAGAATTGAGAAATCTGAAAGAAAAGTAGAGACTGAAAATGAATAAAAAGCAAAATTTTGCCGTTTTTTAAAGCAAAAACGATAATTTATCGCAAATATGATTGCTTTTAAAACTATTTTTTTCTATTTTTTATGATCCGCGATATTTTTCTGTAATTTATTGCAATTAAGAATCAATTTTTTTTCGGTTTACTCGGTATTTTCGGTTTTTTGGTTTACTTTCTTCTTTCTTCTCAAAACTGCGAAATAATTTATATTCCTTATTAAACGTTCACCATATTTGAATCCATATTTTGATACACAGTACAAGCCATATCTAATTGTTCATATAAAACTTTATATTCCCATGTCAAATAGATTAACTGAACCAAGAAAATCCCGATAAATTTTACTCACTTCAGAATTTTAAGCATTTTTTAAAAATGAAGCTTTTGAAAATTGTTAGTAACCGGAATAAAAACTACCTTAAGATAAAAGGATACTTAGGCTGTTAAACCATATCATCAGTGATTTTATGACCGATGAAAGATATTAAAAGAAGTTAAAAGATATTTCTTAGTAAGGATATTAAAAGAAGCATTACTGACTAGGATAAATTCACTATTTGAAATCGTATATTTAAACCACTCATCTTGTAGTATTCCTTTTTTGCGATACTTGAAAATGATTACCAGATAGAAACAGCAAATTAATACAATTCGCTAATACCTATCCTTCAAAAATATTTGCCACCTAGTCAGAAGAAAACAAAGAAATTAAAATAGATAGAACAAACCAGTTTTTGCACAAAATTCTAATTTTTTAGAGAATTAGACTAGAGCTGAATGAAAATTTAGAATTTTGAAGGCATGAAATTTATTCAAAAATCTATTCAAAAATGCAAGAATCTCCATTCTCTCATCAAATTAACATCAAAATCTCAGTCGATTTATAAACTAGGCTAGATAATGCGGATGATTGATTAATTTCTTTATAATATAGTGCAATTTCCTAAAAAAATTTATTTAGTCGGAATTTATTAAGGATTTTCCCAAATTATTGTATTGTACTGTACAGAATTCTAATATTGCCAACTGAATAACTATTTCCCTTTCAGCCAGAAAAAAATTGAGCAGAACCTTAATGCATACAGTTAAATTTGGAAATTCTAAAAATGTATTTTTATTTTACTGCTAACCAATTTTTTAAATTAACATGATTTTAAAGATAATTTTTTGGAGGTGTTTACGTGCAACAGTGAATGAATGCTCAAAAACTCTATTGTTTCGAAATTCTTCTCAAATTCCATATTTCAGCAGATAGGCTTGTGAAAATAAGATTTATATTTTTGTAAAAATTAAATCAAACTTTTTTTTAAATTTATCATAAATTATAAATTTATCATAAAACTAATTAAAATTTTATTTTTATTAACGTACTAAGAAGAAAATAATTGTTACAAAAAAGGCAATGAGGAGAAACGCAATAAATTTAAAATTAGGAAATTAAAATGATATTGTAGCTTTTATAGTTTCCACTTATTGTAAAATTTGAAACTTTTAGTGCTATGACTATTTTTCAATTATTCTAATTTTTTCATTTGTTATTGTCTATGATTTTCTATAATTTTTAATTGTGAAAATTTTATGGTAATTATAACAAAAATAAAAAGATGATAATAATACAAAAACTAATGATGAATAATAGTTCGCTACACTAATATATCAATGCACTAATAAATATGGAAATTAGAACATAAGCGAAGAAAAAAATCTGGAAGTGAAGCGATATTACCCGATGCTTTTGGTGTCTTACTCCGACAAAAAATGGTAGATGCTTAGCATCGTGGCTAAATTTACAAATTTTAATAAATTTTTCATCCACTGTTTTCTAATTTTAGTAATTGGATTGATTTAAGATTTAGTTTAGCTATTCAAAAGTTTAAAATATTCGAACAAAAAATTTTCTTATTTTTACAGTTTAGATTGCAAGAAATTTTTCCGGATCTTAACCTTTTTATAGCGTAAAATTAAATAAAAATATTAAAATTTCAGATACTTCGGATTTTCAATTAAAATATTTTATACACAACTAATACTGTTGAAAATTCGACCAAAAAAATGAAAGTACTAATATTTATGCATAAGATTCAATAATTCTGCTGATGAAACATTCTTCTACCTTAGCGCTCTATGAATAAGAAGCTGTATTTTTTGAAACTAACTTGGTCACAGTGCGCATTATTCGTATTTTCTACAATTTCATTGCTACGTTTTTGCTGCTCATGCAATGCTTTTTCAGTGAACTGTGCCTTTTTTGGTAAGGATTATGATTTATAAGCATATAATAGAAGAAGGTCGGAATTATATTATTTTGGGAATGTACAATAATTTTGCCTTTCATTAACTATGCTTAAATGGTTTACAGCCGAACTTCTTTCCAAATTGCATAACGTTGTTTTTATTATTATTATTATTGTAATTATTATTATTATCATTATTATTATTGCCACTGTTATCTCAGTGTTATTAACATTTGTAATAATTACTGTTATAAATGAATATGTAAAATTTTGTAAAGTGGGATTATTGATCCCCAAAGATATTAGCTCCAAATAAATTTTCCCCTTGGGGGCATAGTTTAGTCGGATGCTTTTTTAAAATATTCTAGATTATCCCAACATCTTATGCATTTCAGTATTTATAGCATGCTCAAATTCATATTTAAATAAGAGAAAATATTTTTTTTTCAGATCATTCCCACAAAATTATTAAACGAGAAAGAGCGTTCAACTTGGCTTATATTGAATCAAAGATAAAAAAGAAAGATGAACTTGCTAAATTGCCTCAAAAAAATCAAACATTAGGGAATGATAATATATGTCAATCAAAATGCAAAGAGAAATTTCGAACTGGATTTGATATGATTAAGGTGTTTTTCTTGGTGTTCAAAGGAATTTTCTTCTTTTTTTCTTTTTTTCTTGGTGTTCAGTATAGAAAAAAAGTAAAAGTAATCTCAAAATAAGTTGCAGGTACATCTAGCTTTCGGCACCATTGGAGTTCCATCCGTGATTGACGAAATAGATTTAATGCTATTTTGTCGATTAGATATGCAACACGATAATTGCTTAAAGGATTGTGGTTTTTCAATAAAATTCAATATAAGAGATTTCATATGCAAACATCATTATTACGAGGTTCAAACAAAGGATTTCTCAAAGAATTAAAATTTACTACAAGATTAAAAATTAACAATCTATTTTCTAAGAGAAAAAATAAAAATTAAGCAATAAAAATAAAATAAAAATAAGTCCCAAGAATAAAAAATGCCAAAAAAGTCCATATAAAATGACATTCCAAGTGCTGCTTTTTTGGCGAAAATTCTTCTTCCCAGATGTCAGTTAAGCCAGTCAAACCAGAATTGAAGAGGAAATGTAATGAAAAAAAAATCTGATGAAAATAGAACTTTGCCTAGTTCATTAATGATATCTTCAAGATTTTACGACGGTCTAATAAAATTAGATAAATTAGAAATAGTTAAATATTCATCATAAATTATCTTTCATGACATAGTGAATTCTGAACAACATAGGAAATTAGTGAAAATAATGAAATTATTTTCTAAAATCTCTTATAGATGCTTGATATTCTTCCATTATATGTTAAAGCTGTGCCGGTACTTAAAGCTCAGTGTGGTAAAACTAAATGTGGTCCATATTCAGAACTAGAAAATTCAATTGCTGGTATAGTTTTCGCCATAGTGATATTCGCCATAGTGATAATTATTGATATCCTCATCCTTTCGATTTTTATTTTTTTCACATTATTAATGGAATCATCTAAGTTTTTTGTCGCATAGTTCTCTGAAAGTCTTAATTATACAAATTTTTTACATAAATGATTTCTCTCGTGAATTATTACGATCGTAAAAAATACGGTGATAGCGATAATCTTGATGATCGTTAGATTTATAAGTGAGTGAATCTTAACTGATAAGAATTAAAATATTTTTTCGTTAAGGTTATGCACATCGCTGTCGACTGCTGCTTTGTGATTTGCAATGCACTAAAAGCGCAATATTCCAAGCGAATGATGCACAGTCCTCGAGGCGTGCAATGGAGTTTCTCATAAGCTATAGCAGAAAACAGGTGGAAATTATTTTTTTCAGAAAAACTAAAGAATCGTGCAGAGAAAACCTAGATCTCTATTTGCAACAACTATGACAAGTAGCGAACCACACTTATTCAAATATCAGGTCTTTTAACATTCCTTTCTCTCAGGGCTTGTATCTCAGAAAACTATAGCGAATGCAGATTTCCTATTCTCGCATTTCATGTCAATCACTGTCTTTATCAAAGTTGATGAATATTCATTTATTCTATTAAACAAACCTAAGTGACTAACTCAGTACAACACCAGATGCCAAATAATAGCCAAATAATGAATTAATGAGGTTTTAGTTGAGAAATTACCAACTTTCTATATTTGAATAATAAAAATGGCCTTTGCAGCGATAATTGAGAGATTTAAATAAGTTCTCATTATAATTATCACAAGATGAAAATATTTCAACAAACTGCCCTCATCTCAATCCATGGCTAAAAATGCTAATTAATTTACGCAGCCCCAAAAGTTAACTTATTTAAGCCCTATTTTCAAATGATATTTGAATAATTAAAGTTAGAATTTAGTAAATAGAGTTAGAATTTCCAATACTTTTATATTTGTATCATATGTTATATGTTAAAACATTGAAATATTACGCATTAATTTCAAATTTTTTTGCCGATAGAGAATCAAACATGAAAAATTTTAAAAGCATTAATATTTGCATGCATTATTACGATTATTATGTTTATTTTTACGATTTTTTTCCAGGTAATGTCTTGGTTAGAGAATCTTTCCGAAGAGCTTAAGCGGCCAACTAGAGAAATTATGCCGAATTCATGTGCTCGCTTATTTTGCGATGATTTTAAAATAGCAAACTGCGCTAAAAATCCGAAAAATTACTATGGCCTTTTCACAAGATTTCATTTGGATGGTTAATAAAATATTCTGCTGCAAATTAATTCTTTGAAAATGATTTGAAGCCAAAAAATTGTTACTATATTACATTGAACATAATTTATACTGCTGTGAAATTTGTGATGATACAAAGAGCACCATTTTAATAATTTCAAGTCTAGAAGGATCATTCGTTCTGTTATCCGCTGGATAGAACTAATCAATAGCAATCATTTTCAGCTGAAAAGAAATAACAGCTGTTTTTCGGCATTAGAATATAACTAATGCAAAATTAGCTTAATAGCAAGCTTAATAGCAAGGATCACTGTTCCATTGAAATAAAATGAAGGAAAAGCTATAAAATCGAAAAATTTTTTAAATTTCCTGCGCAAGCCAAACATCGAGGAGAAAGTTAAATTCCCGAAAAAATTTATTCATTTTAATTAACAGTTTAAAAAGTGTAGAAATTAATTTAATAATTAATATTTAGAAATTAATTTAATATTCAGTTATTAGAAAAAAAATGAGTGAATAAAAAGAAAGTATAAAATATAAATCTGAAAAATTGACCGCTTCATAACTACAAATTCTCCAGCACAATAGAATTTATGAAAAAAAGGCCAAAATTAATTATTGAAATATGTAACCGGTCTAAAAAAATAAAAAAATCTATTGAATAGTACAAAGAAGTAGCTAAAAAAAATAAAAATTCAGCAGAATAAAAGAAATTATATTAAAAAAATATAAAAAATTATTATAAAAAAAATTATTTAAAAAGACATCTATCAATTATTCAATTCAAGAAGCATGAATTCAAGATATATTTGGAAAAAGGATGTTTTAACAGTTTTCAAAAGTTCAGAAATGATTTACTACAATAAATGCAAAAAATTGAATGACTGACTGACCTACAGTGAACGACGATGGGAGCATCCGACCTATTTTTATCTGTGAACTGTCGCATACGTCGCCGCAATTCGATTAAGGCACTTATATATGGAAAGCTATCAAGTTCCCATTCCGTAAAATGGAAATGTCTGACGAGTCGCACTTGCGTCCCAATATTAGGGTCCATTTTAGTAAGCCGTAGAGTTCGTATTACCTAATTAGTTAAGAAAAATTTAAAAATTTATAAAAAATAAAAAATAACAAAAAAATTTTATGCGCGCATTCTCATTAATTCTCATCATTTTTTTGAAATTCATTAAAATTTTTATTAATTTTTGTTTTTTATAAATTTTTTTAAAAATTCAATTATTCTAATAAGGCAGACCAAAAAAACTAACAAAATGCGAATACGATTTTGTTTCAATTGTTTCAATGTTGATTTCACCATATTTACAATTATTTACAGGCCAATACTGTAGGCACATTACCTAAAAAAGTTTTTGTAAGTTGATGTTGATACTCAAAGACTGGCTTATTTTACAAATTTTAGGTAAATATAGGGAAATCTATTCTACTCTTCCAATTCATTAAATTTAAGATATCATTAGCAAATTATTATAATAGAAATATATTTCTAAAAGCCCACAAATATATTAAATCGACTTATGAAATTATTTTTTTTCTAAAAGCATTCATTGTTTCTGGTTAGGATCGTTATGCTAGCTTGAATAAATTTTACTAGAGAATTACACGTGAGTTGTTAGAGTTTTTAAAAGGCATTTATTTATACAGGGATTTATACTCAAATATTAGCGCACCAATCAGAGCAACAATCCATTGAGCCATTCTGTCCCAAATGAATAATGCTCACTTTATGAAATATCAATAAAATTTAACAATGCAAATATTTTTTAAAAATTTTCTTTTGATTATGCGGAATGGACGGACGAATTACCCGCATAAAATCGAAAACTTTTGTTAACATAATAATACAGCTTGATCCTAATTCCCAAATCATTCTCCAAAATTCAGCAATAGCTGCCTTAGTTTTAACAGCCTGTGTGATTACATATGCTTTTTCCCGTAGCCAACTCTGTAAAAATTAAATTAACAATGTCTTTAAAAAATATTCAAAACTTAATTATTATATGTATTATAGTAGCGCCAACACTACCAATCAAATAATCTGCTTCTAAATCTGTTAAAAATCCTTAAAACTTTCTAGTTAGCCCATTAATCTGCAATAAAATCATAGTACTGAAAGTTAAGCAAAAAAGTTCTTGCAGGCTATTTTGCGATAGCCATGAGATACTGAGTGATATAAAGTAAAAAACACTTACATTTACATAACTGGCGTTAATGTAATGAGAATCTTCATCGTTTGGTAGTTTCTTGAGGATTACCCGATTAAAATCATATGGCAAAATATCAGGATATTGATTCCTTTTATTCATAGCAATTCCAATTTCACTGCGGCATTTCACCGGGTCTATGGATCGCAATATCATCTAAATAGCTCAGTGTTAATAAATTCCACGTTTCGCTAGTTTATAAAAGCAATACGAAAACAAGAAAAGTATGAGATAGTAAGATGATAGTAAGATGATGAAATATCAATGGAAATATAGGAATGAATAAATGAATAAAAGAGGGTTTTTTATTTCTCCGGCTTAAAATTTTAAAAAAGATATTCGTGATGTGAACGGTAGATTGCACTTCAAGTTTTTTCATGGTCTCTAGAATCAGTTGATGTGAACTATTTATAATCTATGATCAATTATATTCTGCATTACGAGTGGTCGTATTTGGTCTCAGATGTGAATCTAATCTCTCTGATGACTATTCTATTTAACTATATCATACCATTATATACCATTATACCATTTATATGCCATTTATATCTACACAGAGAAACTTCATAAAACTTCATATGTATCAAATTACTCTTATTAGTCTCAACTAACAGTTTTCAATGGTTCATTAAAAAATTGCATACCAAATATTCTCCTTTAAACAATATTCGCTTTTTTCGCCTTTCGGTAACATATGCAACGAATTTTGAAACATCAATTGGAGCTGTTGGAGCCGATTGCATTGCCTTCTCTTCTTGTACTAAAATCCAATATATATTTATAAATTATTACAATTCGTTTTTCTATTTCATTTTTATAAATTCATAATATAACCTTAGGCTCACTAATCCTTATATATATATAGGCTGTAGATTTATTATATAGGCTCAATAATCACTATTTTTTGCTGTCATAAATAATGAATTATTGTTTAGAGAGGGTTATGCAAATCTTAATTTCAAAAATTTGTTTCACTATTTATAAAATTCCTTAAGGTTGCTGAATAAATGATTGATTAAAAGAAAAAATTTTTTGCATTGCAGTTACACATTTATATTTATGAAGATTAAAATTTTTCAACGAATAATATTGAATTTTTCTATTATACAGAAGGTATCTTATAAGATTTAGGATATCTTATTTTTGAAAATTAGCTATCGACCAAAAAAAGCCTTTTACAGAATATCTTATAATAAAAGTATAAATTATAAATTAGCCCATTTTTTCTTCCATTAATAAAAAATGGTTTACTTGTAACAAATTCATGTTGTAGTAAAAAGAAAGAATTTCGCTCAAACTTACGTCTAGTAATCTATATAATAGTAATATAATAATCTATATAATAATAATATCTAAATAGTAATCTATATTAAAGGCCATTTCCGTTATTACAGGATGAATAGCAATTTATTGTTTATTCCTTTTTACCTTTTATTTTTATTTTATTTTTTACTTTTTATTTATTTTTGCAAAATATATTCAGAAAATTGAAAAATTTGGAACAAATAAATATTTCACAGTATAAAAAGTCTAATCTCAAAGTTGCCATCACTTGAATTTAATAATATACAGAAAAGATTAGATTAGAATAGAAGATTAGTGAAATTTTAACAAAATTATATAAAACTTACTATATACTTAAGAAAATCAATGAAACATCCCAATAATTAGGAGATTTTTTGGTGGTTTTCCACTTATCTTGTCTGCCCTTAGTTAACACTCAAAACCATTAAAACAATAAAATGATTTGATCAAAAGTCGCTTAATCTCTCGTAAAAATACGAACCGATATGCAGTTGTTTATTCAAATATTGAGGTTTATAATATCGCCAACAAACTTTTTGATGACCTCTTTTTTTGTTCGCCATATTTTTAACAAAATTCTCCTGTTTATTTGGATGTGAAAGCCGATCGCAAGACAAGGATGGAGAGCCTCGGACTACTTCTAGTACTAAATTCAACTCAGAAGCTGATTTATCTCGGATATCCGTCCATATTTTAGGTACATGTAAATCTCGAAATGAATTTCGAAGTGATGCACGCTTTGAACGGTTCGAAATTTCAACAGGAGGTGCTCGAAGGTAATTCGCTGACTGTTGCTCCATCTATTTGAAAAAATATTTTGAAAGAGATGTCTTAAAAGACAGAGATAATGAATTGGAAACACTAAAAAAATAATATTCAAAGTTTCCAAATTGAGGATGAGGATGATTCCGAATAATTGCCGAAAAATTTACTGAATCATTGTTGAGAAATAAGTCCAAAAGCTCTTTGCAAGATAATTATAGAAGAGTTGGTGTATTCCACTTAAAAAATCAGCAAATCAGCTTCTCAGTTGATTTTATTCACAATATCACCGACAAAATTTTTTAAAATATTCATTGTCAACTATCCACTGTAAATCCGTGATTTTCTATTTTAGCCTTTTTCATTACAATTCGAATAAAAAGAAAATCTGATCTCCGTTGTTTTTCTTTTTTCCTTAAAAAATCAGAATTGTAATGAATTGTAATTGCTTCGATGCGACGAGGTTGTAACTTTACCATTGACAAAATTCATCTATATTATTATTGCTGAATACTTTTATCCGAGTATTGGAAATAATTTTAGAAAGCATAATAAAATTGAATAATATGCCACAACTAGCGATATTATGGAAAATTCTAGTTGTTTTAGTAGTAGAAAATATTTTAGAACGAAAGGAGAGATGAAAAAATCTTTTACGAATCTTTTCAGTTGAATGCGTTTTAGGTCAATAATTTAGTTTCTGTGGATAGAATTGATTTTAAAAATGTGGGTCATCCCGACGAATGTTATAGATCGTAAAGTCGAATAAAAATTGAAGATTTAAATCATTCAATCAATAATAAGCAGAAATGATTAGATTAGAATAGGGGATTAGTGAAATGAATTGCGATCGCACGATCTCGCTGAAAAACGATGAAGATGCGATATGCCAGCTAAGTTTTCACTAGGACTTATTCATCATTATCGACATCCTCAACATCTCCATCTTCTTCTACTTATTCTTCCTCTTTCATCTATCACTAGCAGTAATTTCCGATTATTTGTTGTTGTTCTACACAGCAGTTAAAATTTTTCTAAAGCTTTCTTTATATTAGCCTTTAATGCTATCTTTTGCCATTGTTGCATTCATCGTTTCATTGTATTCGTAATTCCTTTTTAGTTTATGTTCAACGACTTGCTAGGCATTTTTTCTAATATCACTTTCTAATAACGAGTTGGACATCAATCATCCTTCAGTCAGTCCACTGGTACCATTCGTGAGGTGCGGAACGAAATCTAGACGAAACTCTGCCTAACGTATTCATATTTAAAAAATTCATTCATTAAATCCATAAATCTATTGGTATTATCTATATGATGCATATTTCATTCAATGAACTTTCGATTATCTATCATTTTTTGAAATTCATGCATCATTAAATTTATAAAGCATGACATGACAATATCATAAAATGCTATTATTGTGCGTATCTGATTCATAAAATTTATGCATGACTTAAGCGCTCATTTCACAAACATGAATACTTAATATCTAAAAATTTAAACCTTGAAATCGCGAGAAAATTTCCATTATTGAATTGAAAACCATTTCCTGTTAGGTTCACTCCCTTGGCTTCTCCGACCAGATAAATTTTGCCAGAGATAAATTACTTGGCGATGGAATAACAAATATGTCGCTAGCACAAGAGCTTGAAGAGAGAGAACCTAATAAGGAGTGCTAAGTAGTTAACATTCACTACTTCTGGCTAACTCGTCAAAATGGCTATTAGCAGGATGAAATGATTCCACAGAATCACTCGATAACAGAAATAAATGTATCCACCACTATCTGGATTTTTCAAATATTTTTTGGTTTACAATAAAATTTGGTGCAAATTTCAAATATTTGGTTTAATTATAATAAAAGAAATAAAAATTATGCTTCGATTATTGCGCTCTTTTTTCGCAAAAAAATGCGATTTACTGAATAGATTCAAGAAAATTTTTTAACGAATTCATCCCTTTTTCACTAATAACAACTTTTACCATTTCGGCAGAAATATACAAAATATGAAAGTTATTATGAAACAAAATAAAATAAATAAAATTTACGGAAATTTTTAGTTAAATAAAACATTCAATTGAATTTTTTAAGGAAAAAAATTTAAAATTCGCTGAAGAAATCTTTAAAAACTTAAGAGATTTACTTATAAATGTAGGGGACATATCCAAAATAAAATAATTAACGGGTTTCATTAAAAATTAATTAATAAATCATAAAATGAAGAAAAATGAAAACTATATATGAACATTGAAAAATCGAGTTTTTTAACATTAGATTAGATTTATATAGTTTTGGGTATTTTGAGCCATTAAAAAAGGGACAGCGATTAACGATGATAATCGATCTTGATAAAACAATAAATTTATAGTTTTTAGTTAAAGGAGCTTTCAAATCTCGATTAATTCGTCATCACAAATTGAATTTATTCATTTATCATCTGGATAACGTAACTGAAAAACACGCAAAAAAATCCATAGACAGGTAATTCTCAGAAACGCAATTTATTTGCTTTTTTTCTTTTTCATAATTAATTTCATTAACTGAGAACCCAAAATTTGTTCGAAAATATAAAAAGCGAAAAAGATGACTGGAAGTGATATGATTAACCTTAAAGAACCTTAAAAGTTTAATAATGACTTAAATGCATGACGAATTAAACGATATGAAAGCTCCTTTAATCAAAAACTATATGCTTATATAGCATTCGCGCTTAAAATTCTGCATAGGCGTACAGAAGAAAGGCTGCAAAAATGAAATCGAAGAAATTACAAGTGGAATAGCTTGAAACAAAGGTGCAAAACTGAGGAGTCATTAACTCATAGCAAGCAATTTTTGCGCACCAGTTCTTTTTGAAACTCTTCATAACAGTACATTGAAAAAGTTAATAGTAAAAAGTCTAGCAGAATCACTTAAATGCCTACTCAATGTATAACACTATGGTAGTGATACAGTGGAACGAGCCAGTATACTGCTAAGGCAACAACCTTCGATCAAAATTGTGAGAGATTCCAAACTGTAAGTATATTTTCTTGAAATTGATTATGGTTTTGCATAATGTTCGATTGAGAATAGGCAAAGAAGGCGAAATTTCTGAGTAGCAAGATTAACTGTTTTCATTTACTTGTAATTTGAGAATTGGAGAAAATTACTTCTTTGATATGTAAATTTTTAAATGAGCACTAATTTTCATTAAAAATTTCTTGTAATCATATTCATTAAATAATCAGTCAAATTATAATTTACAGATATTTACTGATATCCGAGATTCTCAAAATATGCAAAAAAGCAGAAATAAGTAAATTATGATTAAATTAAGGTCACCATAGTGTTAAAAAACTAAATCGAAGTTGAAAAATAACGAAAAAATTTGTTTAACAATTAGCGATTTTTATTTTTCACCATACTTCGCCAGTAGTTTATTTAAAAAATTTTCACTGGATTAATAATAATAGTTCAGAGACATTCAAGAAAAGCAAATGGTAGAATCAGAAGGGATCATATGAACGTATAAGCAGCCCAGCGATGGGTACAATGGGCTTTATGGAAAAAAAAGTGGGTTTCTTCGTTCTCACCCAAATCCAAGCCTGGTTGATCATTAAAATAGCTAATAAAGAAGAATTGTTCTGGACAGTTTTAAGAAAAGGAAAAAGTATGGATCTTATTAGGTAAAAATCGTATAAAGTTTTTTTAATTGTAAGGCTGATGGAAATTCAAAACAAGTTGTGATAGATATCGCAATAAAATCTCTGTAAAGTCTGATCTATTTAAACAAGATTTCTTACAAAGATTAAGTTTTTTATTTAAATTTATCAATACATCAACTTCATCTATCATCCACTTTCTACTTTTTTCACAATTTTAAATTGTTCAAATTGTTCAAATATACTAAGAACAAAATTTTGAAAATCTAAAAATAAACAGTTTTTAAACCTTAAGCTTATAATATTTAGGAATAAGTCAAATGCCTCATCAACATGTACAAATATTTCACTGGCACTTAAAATATAGTTTGTTGCTCTGCTAGGCAAATCAGTAAAGTTAATCGAAATATTTCAGAAATATTTCCAATGCTGCATATCCTGTCGTTTCATTATAAATTATAAATTGAATTATAGATCTAAACCAAATTTTGTTTCGCTTAAAGACAATCATCCTTATTCGTAAGGTTTAGTCCCTTAATTATATTATAAATATATTATTAATTATATTAATTTAAGTTGTGCTCATTATTATGAATTTTCTTGAACTTCAATATTGCCAAAACTAAAGACTTGAATTTACTTAAACCAGTTCTTGGAGCCAGGTGTTATCAGTATTTGTTAGAACACTATTTGTTAGAACTAGTAGTTCCTGGAGTAGGTTATCTCCTAGTAATATTATTTTTACTTCTTCTCTACGTCCATGTCTCTAGATTGTTTAATTGTTTCGTGCTTTCTTTTTTACACCCATTTTTGGCCTTATTTTCAATGCTTTTTATTCTCTTTGTTTATTTCGTTTTCAGTATTTCATGTTCTCCTTGTTTTTTTTTGTTTATTTTTATGTTAGCATATTACTTCATGCAGTGCTTCATATAAATAAAATAGGAAATAAACTAGATTAACTAAATAAATAATTCAGTCAATAAATCGCAAAAGTTAATCTGAAAATAAAAACTTCCTATTCGCATTTTGTATTTGCGATATATGCGACTACAAATTCGGTTCAAGTTTAGAAATTTAGCAAAGCTTTATAATTTTTAAGCTGATCCAGCGATAAAATCTGTTTATTATTGATATTGACCATATTGTTCAATTTTTCTGGCCGATTCTTGCAGATGAACTGGATTTAAATTCGTTTTTTATTATATATTTTTCATTTTTTTCCATTTTTATAGAAAAATCCTTAGCTTTTTGAAGAAGAAAACTTCAGCAGAAATAGAAGCGGCCTCTCAAAAAAATGAATTTCATAGATATATGCAGTAAATTCATAGCGATTTATTAAAATATTAAAATTTATATGAGTAAAGCACATCTTATTGCAGATTACTCTTTGGAA